AATATAGATATAGATATAGATATATATATATATATATACAGAGAAAAGTTTATTTGTATTCGTGTACTCTCGTAACTGCTGGCGAGTGGGATGAGCTGACTCCTGAAAGAATACTCACTAAAACAGCCTCACAAAATATACAATGTAGGTACTTAGTTTCATACTAAAGCACCAATACTCATGTGTGGAACGTTTACTGTATCCTATGTGATCCTGATTGCAATATCAACGATAAGAACAAACAACAATACTCAAGAGAATAGTACTCTTGTTTATACCCATACTCACTAGCCAACAATGAGTACAAACACAGCCTCGTTTAACACCCATTGTACACATATCCTTGCACACTACAGTACACTTATGTGTAAGGACATGATACATACCTGATGTGATCTCCGACTGGTATATAACCTCGCATGCTCCTGATGCGACACCGGCCTTCGCGATGAGAGAGGGAATAACATCTTCAGGGTTGCCCGCACTCACATGCAAATCACTGCCAAGGCCTCTGAGATTATTCCTTAGATCACTGATGCTCTCCAGCATGAATCTTAGCCTGTGCACACCCGTCTTAGGATTGCCGTGTGGTGTGATAGCCTGTGATGTGATGACAAGATGCGATACTTGAATAGAAGTTGATTGCTTTCTCTCTGTGAGTGTGTGAGTCTACGCATAAGGATAGGATGAATATCTACGCATGCGTTGGCTGACGGTACGGTGCCTAACCTACTACATAGGTATACATTGCCACAGAAGATACACATCTCGTATCAAAGCCTACAACAACAAGAAATAAAGTCATTGTGTGAACTCTGATGTATACGTCGGCCACTAATCCGCTTTATTGAGAACGCTCGCACAGACTGACATTAAAACTACCTAGCGCTTAAGCACAGTCTCAATTAAATTTATAGCAGTGAACTTCTGAAAATGTATCCCCATTTGTTCTATCGGACAAGACACCTAGTATCCGGATCTTCGAAAGATATTGTGCACCCTCTATTCTTCCTCAGTATTTCCGCACGCATAGACACGATATTATACACGTACGATCCAAACGAATTCAAGCATATATTGATTTCCGGGTGTCTATACAAACTGTAGAGAAGACTGTATCCTATGCACTTATTCACTATATAGGTACACTACAACACTGTCACTTCCACACACAAACACTCGCTCCGACACCTAAACCTCCCGGAAAATAAGAACGCAGCACAGATAAAGGTCTACCTCTTGTTCTTCCACACAACATTTATAACACGAATACAACAGCATTAACACTTCTACATACAACTGCTCACATACCTTAACCCCTCGAGGGGTTAAGTACACCGTAAAAAAGATCTGATACATTGTATTCTACTTCGCATTATCGATATACGTGCAACCGGCAGCATAAACACTTCTACATACAGCTGCTCACGTACCGTGACTTCCCGCGGGTCTAAGCATACTGCACAAGAGACTGTGCACCCCTTATTCTTCTTCACTATATCAGCGGCGCGCACAAGCGAGGGGTTGTCGCGAATACGCAGATCTCGTCGGAACCAGACTACCACATGCTGTTGATGATACAATTCGAGTGATATAAAGTTCAAATACCGCAGGCGTTATGGATCGCCCCATAAATCGGAAAGTGGCTATACATGACTTTTTTAAAGACATCAGCAACGTCGAGGTGCCAAACATCATTGTTCTTGCAGTCGAGTGCGTGTATGCATATGTGATATAAAATTCTGGACGCAAATAGTTTCGACAACAACACATCCTGCATCTGATCTTAACAGTACATATTACTTTATATTAATGCTGATTGGTGATAGATAAGCAAAGATATGAATCACAAGTATGTATGAAATTCAATATCAATATATTCACAAGAGAAATGGCAACAACACACAATCGTAATTACAAATTACATCCCTATCTATGGATCTCTATTGATTATGGTATTTACGTACATATATATATATGTGTGTATATATATATAAATATAAATATAAATACAAATATATCTA